TCTCATTTGCTCTCCCTTCGTGCAATATGTTTGCATTGAGGTGCTTGGTTACTGGCATCTACCTAACAAGCCTGCCTAGTTGCAACTGTTCGTATGCAAACGGAATTGCATTGGGGTAATTTAGAATCAGTTCTCAAATTCCAAGTTATTCAAATGCAGAATGTGAGATCAGCTACATAGATTTGTGCTGACTGCTGCTCTAGCTCGCTGCAGGACTGCTCATTGCTTTCAGCTGAGAGGTTAGGGGTGAAGAAAGGCCTTTTTGCACCACAACTGAGTGGAATGAGTGTGATGGGTGGAGAAGGCTCTGCAGAGACTTCCTCTGCTCTAGGGATAAATCAGATTGATTTTGAAGATGACTTTGATTATGCCACAAAGTCACTAGGGGATGCGCTAATTACAAATGTGAAGTTTATCGTATGTTTCCAACTGCTTTGTGCTGCGTGAAGGAAGAGAAATGTCCCAAGGAATATTTTCCCTTGAACCAGAGGGCTGCCTCGTATTCCCAGCTTTTCAAACTACTCTGATATATTTAATGAGATACCACTGTGTTACTTGTTTGCTCTGTAAAACACCTGGAGACTTAATAATGAGATGAATGTTTTTTTGCTCGCTGTTATCTTCTACCAGCTTTACTGCTGTGGTCTAAGGTGATCTGATACCATCACCATCTTTTATGTGTGCATTTTATCTTAAAAACCTGAGCATCTGTCCTGTGGAAAAGGTGACATAGGTTAATACTGCTTCCCTCTGTTTTTTCCTACATTAAAAAAGAAAAAGTCACTTTTACCATTGCCCATTTTTATATTGGTGCAATTAGAGCAGGTCTGTGGCAGGGCCTGCACTTGCAGTTACTGCGTTTCCCAGCTCCTGTTAGGGAGATCACCCTGGTTCTGAAAGGCTTGCTCTGYGTGGTCTGTGGCGAGCACCACATGTGCTTCCCAGAGGAGCTGCCACAAGGCAGTTGACTTCTGCTGTCAGATATTTCTCAAATGAAAGGGAAAAATCCAAACTTTTCTAAGAATTCAGTTCAGATTTTGACATGGAGCGGGGAAAACGGATGGGAAAGTAAAAAGAGTTGTGCAGCTTTTCRTAACTGGGTTTCACTGGTCTGTGTTTGCTTTTAATTCTGTAGTCACAATTTGACAAGGAATGGCATAACTCAACCCCCTAGTCCGGTCTGCAGGATGTGGATTTCAAGAGGATTCCATAGGATTTCAGCTATAATGCCCAGTCATTACAACTTCACTGATGTGTATGTGTACTGAATGTACCAACTTCTTTTTCTGTACTCTAAGATGATCTCATGAGTGCTAGTGAATTAGCCATCTCATTATTTTTAGGAAACTTACTGGGGTTTATTTATATATGGCATATTAATATACAAAGCTATGAAGAATTATAGTTGAGGTCTAAAAAGGAAATCTTGAGGAGAGTCAAGAGTAGCTTCATGTTCGTTTTAGTTTCATCTTTGAGTACTGTAGCTACCTCTGACTTCAGAGATGAAGCTTTTCAAAAGAGACATGGAGGAAGGAAATTTTGGAATGGGATGGATTTGGGAAAAAAAAAATAGTTTGCCTTGTAGGCATCACTGAATTTCAGAACAGAAATCTTCCAAATACAAAAGGGCATTGACTGTCAAGTTTAGATTAGGGCTCATGTGTGAATTTTGTTTGGTCTTGTTTGAAGTGACTTAAAAGGTTAGAAGCTAAGGAGCGCAGAGGAGCTCAGATCTTGCAGCTTGACCCATACTGATCTCTAAAAGACATTTTTTGAACCTTTCATTACGTGATGTAACAATATGTCCTGGTGTGTCTGTGTATGTGTWCATACATATGCATTATAATTGCAAGCATCCTGCCCCTGCTGGCTTGCTTCTAAAGCAGCTTGAGCAGATAGGGAAATACCGAAAGCACTTCAGAAAATGTGGCAGGAGTTCATCAAAAGCCTTTTCAAACTGTAGTTTTCACCTAGCTTCATTAGTGGGACTACAAATTAGAGAGGCATGTGAGTTTATATCTGCATTACTTGCCAGTCCACCTCTCAAATCTTTGTCGCAGGCTTCCAACACACAGTTCCTTTCATTGTGGGTGTTTATTATATTGGGCCCAGGGCTTATGAGGAGAGTAGAGTTATCTTCACCTGATGGTCCAGGCAGGTGAAACCTCTTGCCACAGCCATGAGCAGTGGCCGGGAGGGATCTCGCACCTCCTTGTTCCCGGTCTCGTGCCCACCTGTGGAGTCAGGGTTGGGAGCCTGGCATTGCCACAGGGCAGAGCAGCGCTGAGCGGCAAGACTGGTTTGCCAAGAATGCAGCTCCAACTCCCCGCGTATTTTCTTTAAGCTGCAGCTGGACTCTTGTGGCTCTGCAGAAGCAAATACATGTGGTCAGGACAGGCAAAAGCCAAGAAAGCAGAAAATCTTTTAAGCTCCTTTACAATATTGGTGTATCAGATGAAAAAATGCTGCAATTTCCTGAAACCAAATAAAGGTATTGGTGAAATAATCTGAGAAGGCCAATCTGAGGTATTAAATGACAGRCAGGAAACAGGAACAGTCAACCTGAATCTGAGAAGCACTAGGGGAAAGGCCTGTCTGATCCACTGAGACTCATCCTCCTAATTACTGTCCAGCTCCTTCATCTCCACAAAGGCATCTAATTACTTCTTGAATTACTCAAGTGTCTTAGGCCAGTCAAACTYGCCATATTCTCTGGCTGTTTCTGCTTGCTCCGTGGGCAAGTTGAGCAGCATATCTGGGAAAAGTCGGGCAATGCAGGGATTGATCTGGAGCTGCAGGGTAGGGATCACAGCAGGACCATCTCTGCTGCTGCCTTTGGAGGTGTGTGAGCGCAGGGGGAAGCACAGGGAGCGTCACTGCGGGTGTGACTGTGTTTAACAGACTCAGCACCGTGATGTAAAACTGGCTTATACGTTAATTTTACTCTGGCATCCTCCTAGAAAGGGAACAATTTCAYTCTTACTGTAGGTACTGTTTTGTATCCAAAAGTTGTTATAGAAATCCTCATGCCAGAAGATAGTATCTTGGAGCTATTAATTCTGGAATCCTGCTCCAGCAGTTGCCAAGGACTAATGTTTATATCAAAGGACATTACCTACCACTCCCTTATCTAGAGGAGAGCTTGGTGTTTTTTCTCAGTTTCCCCTCAGAGGTTAAGTCACGTTTCCAGGGTTTGATAATTTCAAGGAGCTAATCCAGAGAGAAAAAAAAAAAAAAAAAAAAAGAAAGACTTCAGAGTCCTAAAGTTTAACACTACGATCCAAAAAGTGGAGCAGCTGCCTAATCTCATTAGGACTTACAGCTCTGATGTGAAAATTATGCATTGTGCACAGGCCTAGAGTAACTGAAGGTGTGCCTGACAGATGTGGTGCAGTGGGAGAGGGGTAGTTTTCTGAGTTTAACAACTCAGCACCCCCTTTGAGGAGTTAACAGTGAAAAACTTTGCAAAAATAGGCATTGAAAGAAACTACTTCATACAGGCAGCTAAAGTACTTGTAAGAAGCAGGAAACCAGCTTCAGCTTCCCTCCTCATTGCAACAATTCCACGTCTACTTGCTGATTTTAACATAGAACTGTGATCCCTACCCCCTTGCTACTATTATTGCAATCCAGACTTTATCTAGGCAGAGGCAGGCTCCTTTCCACTTGCTCTCTTTCTAGCCTCTTTATGCAGGAGAGGAAAAAAAAAAAAAGTGTTAAATGGCTCAGTTTCAAAAAGTGGTCAAGACAGCCTACCAGGAGGTGAGAGGCTAATTCTTTTCCTGCCAAGAATTGCCCTTAAGACCTTATGGGAAAATACCTACTATTGATTTGGAGAGCGATCTCTAACCGCCAAATCAACATGCAGAAGAGAGTCCTTTCCTCACATACTCCCTGCCCTGTTTTGTAGCAAGAACATAGATTTTTATATATACACAGTTGAGTCAAGCCACAAAACCAGATTATCTTAAAACGCAGATTTGCAAACCATTTTGGGAAGGTTGTGGCCTTCAGCTATCACTTAAAGGTACAGATATTTGATTTTCCATTCTGAGCTGGATTACAGAGAAACACTTAAACGGGCTAAGGATATTGATGGAACGATCATGCGTAAGTCAGGCTCTGCAGCACTGGGCAGACTGCAAACCTGCTGCAGTGAAGTTCACAGAAGTCTCTTTTCAAGGGCTTGCAGCACATTTCAGATATTCCCTTTTTCTGCACAGGTATCTTAGCATATACATACAAGGTCAAATCGYAGCATTCCCTACGAACTACATGTTTTGGAAAGGTAGTGGAGCCTAGCTGGAAGCTCCCTGGTCACACACAAGCTCTATGGATAAGGCTGTAATTAAGCTGTATAGCCCTTTGAGAGCAAGGAGGCAGAGGATCCTGCAATGTTACTCAATGACAGATGTAGTTATTAGCTTCTTAAAAGGCTGYGGTCTGGAAAGGAAGATGTAGAATAGCTTTAGCCTATAGCTAAAAGGCTGAATGTGTCTTCACTATCAAGAGCATCAGAGTGAACTTGCACTCCAGACYTATCCTGGGTAAGATGCAAATGAAGTGCAGGAAGGTCAGTTCAGTACTTGGACAGGACTGGTGATAGCCATCTTATTTAATGACCTTCTACTAAAAACCCTATGTCTAATCTAGGAATTAAAACCTCACATAGTTTAATTGGGAATTGGGACTCAATTTATTTTTAAGGAAAGTGTGGAAAAAAAAAGCTGGGAGTCAGAGATGCTTTTTGAAGTATTTTTATTGCAAAAAGTCTGGACATTTGCTGGCAGCATACTTGATCACATTCTCTACTTGATGGTCATCCAGAGGACACTGCATGCATTCAAGCTGAAAGCATAGGGCAGTCCCACCAGGCACCTGAGAAATGTCATGGGAAAGTAGTCTTTCAAGTTGAAAGAGACACCTTTGAAAGTGATCACCTACTTGGGTGCCCTTTGCTTCCCAGAGTCACCTGGGAAATAAGAATTAAATCAGCTATAGTCATAGCTAACTGTAAACATTTTCCTGCAATGCAACAGAAACTGTTATCTGGATAATTGACCCTGAAGTGGTTTTTTTTTCCAGTTTTAAACGAGAAACTGTATTTCTAAAGCAGGCAGTGCAATGAGTTGCATCTAGCTTGGCACCTAACACTCAATGCTGCATTATGCAGCAGAGGCATATGATGCTGCTTCTCATCTGGCCTATATCAAAGTAAGTCTCATGATTCTTGTATAGTCTCCAAGAGACTGTCCTTCCCCGCCAAAACCTACTACTTCTCTTTCTGCTCCCAAGTCCAGTATCATCTCAAACCACTTCCTTACTCCCCCCAGACATGATGATTCCCTTTTTCTTCTCATCTTCTTGTGTKAAGGCATGATTAAGAACACATTCTCTAGCTCTGTTAAAAATAGCAATAATATCTTCATGTACAGGCTGTCCCTCTACATGCAGGACTCGGGTGCATGTGAATTTCACTCATTTTTCCCATAGGTCTGACAATGTTGATCATCTTTGGCAGACAGCAGTCCTGAACCAAATGGAACAAACGATCCATTGCCGATATAACAGGGCGTGCGTTTTGCAACTGCAGCTGCTTAGGAGCAGGAACTCACTGCAAGAGAAAAGAGAGTTTACGGGATGGCATCTTCRAGAGTAAATCTGTCTGAATAGAGAATATATTACAATATATTAATTAACAGCTGCACTCAGCTGCAAGTTACTAATTGACTTKAAACTATTTGAAGCAGACAAATGCAAAGGTGTAGCAAAGCATTAAGGACTAAATTACTCTGTATGACACTACAGGCTCTTTAGCTTCTATTGTTAAGTTAAAAATCATGCTAATTGCTGTATCATTCTGAGCAGAAAAACAGCTACGATTACTGCCTCCCTAATAATCAGCTGTAGACTGTGAGAAAATGTTTTGCTTTCAGAAAGCACTAGTAGAAAGAACAATTCACCATTAACTTCTTTTCAGGCATGATAGTTTAAAATTCACCAGGGAAGTGGCAAATTTAAGTTTTCTATCAAAACTGTGGTTCTGTAGTAACAGACATATGTCTTAATAGTCAAATCAATGCTCATATGCAGGGTACACAGTCATTTGCATTAAGACACAGTGGCCATTACAGCCCCAYGAGGCCCTTGGAGTTATTTTAATCACAAAAGCCAGAATAAACTTGTTYCCCACAAAGGCACCTTCAGTCCTTTCAGTGAGAAGATACAGGTTGTTCTATTTAAACCAGTCAGTTTGCAGTAAAACAGTTCTTCCCTTCCAGGGACACTAGCCTAGCAGTGAATATTTTGGTCACTAACAATTCAACACTCCAGTTCATGTTGTAAGGAAGAGATAACTAAAACTTACAATGCTAAGGCATGTAGTTTTTCACCCCTCCACTTTCAGTTTTATTTTGGTACAGGATATATTTATTTTTAATCCACTTGATATTGCTGTGAAAGCTACCCAGCCAATTCCATGTCCATCGCTGCTGGAACCTGCTCTTACAGGAATAAAAGGCCTCTTGACCTGATCCAAAACTAGCACTAGCGAAGTCCACAGTGTTCCTTGATAGCTGCTTTACATCATACCCGTGTCTTCAATCCCAAAATATTTTTAGCAGACACTTAAGTGGAAGTGGCTCAGATGACTTCTGACACTGACAGCATGCTGATGATCAAAGTGTCCTCCCTGTCAGGCCAGGAGGAATACAGTGCCTTCTCTATCTTTCTTCTACCATTACACAAACTGTAGAGATGAGGTATAGGAAAACTCTAAGTAGTAAGTGCAGAGATACAAGACCTTTAGGACGCATCCTGAGATGGAGCGGGAGGATCCTTATTCTCRGGCTCTGGCGGTGGAGCTGGCACACTCTCCTCCTTCTTTTGCGCAGCCAAAAACTCATGAATCGCCTTCTCTATCTGTGGCCTGAAGATGTGGTTTAGTTTTGGATCCACCACCTGAGAAATAATTCTGTCCACTCCAGCTTCCAGCATTCCTGACCTTGGACAAAGACAAAGGAGTCATTCAGCTGCTCTGAACAGCCTCTCCCCAGTCTCCTCCAGGAATTCTCCAGAGCCCTCCTGTCAACTGCAATTAACATTAATATGGTGAAAACTGCAGCCCACTCAGAAGATCCTTAATGGGGAGCTGTTTCAGTTACCTATTCCCCCTGCTTCCTTTCACTTCTCCCAATGGAATTAACAGCTGGTCTCCCAAGTACTTAAATGACGTGTCGGACAAGAGCCATTGTAATAAGGCTCATGCAGAAATGAGGTCAATACAACAGCAAACAAACACACTTGGGCACAAACCAGAGAAACAAACTATTCTGAGGAGGAGGGCAGGTATGAACACAGTCTTTTTTTTGGCTGACTCGGGGAGAAAAGGCTTTCCCCCTAATAACACTACTGTCACTCATGCCTTATAGCTGCAAGTCTAGACATGGGGGTATTAATTAAGAAAACAAGCACATTTAGCAAAGTTTCTGGAACARGCACTAGTAACTGAAGTGACTAATTGCTTCAGGGGCTGTGTCAGACTCCTGGATTATGGGGCGCAGGCAGTCTAGCTGGCTTAAGTCATGTCTGCAAGAGAGCAGGGGACAGGAAACGGAGCCATTGCCCAGCATTTGGAAATGAAGCCACGAGTCTAATAAGGCCATTAATGCTGGTGAGTGATCGTGTGCATGGTCACTGCACAGCACGTCCACGGAACAGCATGTGGGTATGGGCAGCCAGCACAGGTCAGTTGTCCACGTAGGCATCTGCCACACTTCATTGCTAGGTCCTTCAGCTCCTGCAGCAGAGACAGACTCTTCAAATTCCCTACTTCTGTGCAGCTAGGCCTTGCACAAACGCCCTACCTGCTGCAAGCACTTAGTTGTAGAGTAACGTGAAGTGAAAGAGGAAGCATTGAGTGACAAAGACATTTCAAGGACTTGAAGACAAGGCAGGAAATTCTGTACCTGCAGCAGATGCTGCCTTCTCAGATTACAGGTTAAACCCTAGAACTAATGCTAAATACTAGTAATTTGTAGTTTCTATTGAGTGCTCTGAAATATATATTTTATCCTGTGTACAAGGCATTCTAATAACTTTCCTTACATGCATGAACACAGTTAACAAGTCTCTTACTGTCCCCCTCCCCTAGCTTGACTCTGATGTTTTTACTCATGACTTCTAGTTTGTTCTGGCACAATACAGGTCAAACTGGCTTTCCAGTTACGTTGAAAGTGCAGTATTTTAAACAACTGTATAAAAGCTCCTACCATCAGGCTGAGCCCAAGACAACCCAGTCTGACTACTGCCAGCTGATGGTTAAGCAAGTTTTGGGRTCTCCAGGGAATTTTCTTTAAGTGAAATAAGCTCTTTTTTCTTTTTTCTTTAATCCTGAAACTTAAGTCCAAGGTCATTCAAATGAGTGCAACTGTTAAGTGTTTTGCTAGCAGGCAGAGTTAACTATTTGTGGCAATAACTTGACTGGATAGTGCATGTGAGTGTCATGCTAGGTAACTTATGAAAGCTGTAGGTTTCCAATATAAGCATTTTAATGGGGGTTAAGACTGTATCTGCTGTTATAATGAACTTTTGCAGAATACAGTAAAAAGTGTTGTGAGAAATGTAACTATGCAATACCTGCCTAGGTGATATATATACACACACACACACACACACACATATATATATATATATATAAATTGTCAAATAGCATCACTGTAAGTTTACAGAGCTTTGCTTACTTACTGAATCACGCTTTGCCTTAGCCCATTTCGTAACTGGTTTTTGTTCATTGCTGGATTCCATTCTTGTTTGTCCAGATGGGTAGATACAAAGTTGTCCACTTTCTGCCTCAAATTCTGATAGGCTGGCTTAAAAAAAAAAAGATCCAGTAAAACAGCTAAAACTTTCAAAACAAAACTCTGAAAGAAGCCTTCAGAGCACATCTTTTGTGATGTGTGCCATYGTTCTGCTGCCCATGCTCTCCATGCCTGGGCCTTCAGAACAAAGGAGGGATKGTTTAGCCCACGGACACAACTGCAAGGTGCAGTTTGCACGTGTGCTAATTTATCAGCTGAAATAGCTGGCTAGATTTGTTGTAATGTTGCTGGCTGCTCTTGGTGCTATTACTGCAATGCAAGCGGTTTGCCCAGACTGCAGCTYTTGTGTCTCTACCGCGTAAGTCCTGGGAAGGTGTGTGATAGCAGCGCTGGTGAAGAAATGATCTGTTTCTGTGCCTGTGGCACGGAAGAGTTAACCAGGGGGACGGAGGGGTCAGGGGAAAGCTTCTGCAATTCCTGTTTATTGGAATTAACAAATCGGGGCAACCGGTCCATACGCATGCAATATTGGCATGCACGGATTTATGTGTTGTCTGTGTAGGCGCGTCCTGCCCGCGGTACTACGCAAGGAAGGCGGGGGCGGCGGGGTGTGGGAGCCCCTGGGAGCGGCGGGCAGCGGGGCCCCGCCGCGCTACCTTGGTGTCCACGTCGGCCAGGCAGTCGCGGCGGAAGCCGTCGAACAGGCCGCGGCTCTTGAGCTGCTCCACGATAATGGCGATGAGCTGCGGGTCCCCCGGCGGCAGCGAGGCCGGGTCGGCGGCGCCGGGCCCCGAGCCGGAGGCCGCGCCGCCCGCGCCCGCCCCGCCGCCTCCGCCGCCGCCTCCGCCGCCCGGGGCGGCCCCGCCGCTGCCGCCGCTCTCCGCCATGGCCCCCGGCAGCGCTGGCGGCGCCGCGCCGCCCTCCCGCGCGGCATCACGGGAAGGGGAGTCCCCGCCGCGCGGCGCGCTCATAGGCTGCCGGCGGCCGGGTGGTGCGGCGGGACTACATGTCCCGGCATGCCTCGCGGCGGCGCGCAGGCCGCGGCTGCGGCGCGCAGGCCGCGGCTGCGGCGCCTGCTGGGGGCTGCCTTTGGCGCGGGCGCCGCGCCGTGGCCGGGCGGGCTCCCCCGGGCCCCGCTGCTCCCCCGTTCCCGCCCGAGCGGTTCTGGCGCTGCCTCGGCCCTGGCCCGCGGCGCCAACGTGCCCGTGGAGCGGGGCGAGGGTCCCGGCCCGCGCGTGCTGCGGGGGCTGCAACCGGCCTCGGCGGCGGCTTGGCTCGGGCGCCGCTGCCCGCGGCGTTCATATAGTTGAGAAGTAAATATAGGAAAAAAAGAACCAGTTTGCACATGATCTTGAATTTGACTTGACTTGAATTTGATGCACGGCCYGTCGGTCTCGTTTATTTTTCTCCTTGTGCCTGTAAGCCGCGTTGTGTCCCCAGGGACGTGGGCACCCTGAGGGGCTCAGGGGCYGTTGCGCCTCGGAGCAGGAGGGCAGGGCGCGCGCGGGGGTGAGTGTGGTGCGGGGCTGTGCTGCCTTCCTCCCCAGTGCGGAACCCAGCAGCTCCGCGCGGCGCCGCAAGCTGTCCTTCCATCTGGCAGCTGCGAGGACGGAGAAAGAGGAGAAGCAGCAACGGGAGCRGGAACGGGAGCGTTTGCYGCCCCGCGCGCTGCCCGCAGCAGCGCCCGGCCGTGCTCTGCGGAGCTGCTTGGGTGCCCTCCTGCCGGAGAGGGCGGCTGTCCCGGTGGCAGGCGCCCCTGCCCAGCACCGCCTGCRCCAGAGCTGGGTATAAACCCCCGTAGTTGCTTGGGTATTCCAGAGTATCCATGGAATTGCRTTCCTTCCTGACGACTGCCTTCTGCTGCTCGCTTGTGACCAGCTTACGTGGGAATCATGGACATGGGGAACAGGCCGGCCTTGTCCTGCTGTGTATACTATTCTTTCTCGTGAAGGGGTCCCTCTGTGTAGGCTCTGTTAATCTAATTGCCACAATTCCCAGCCCTAGTGAGCTCCCTAGGAAGGAGTTAGGACTGTTTGTTCAAGTCTTCTATCAATGTACYATATAGAACATTGTGAACCAGCCCCTGTGTTTTTTTTAATTTAGCCCTTGCAATTCTTTTAATTTAGCCCCATGCAGGCAAGGGGGCTACGGGAGGTCTCRGGGGCGCTAGACAGGGGCTGACGCTCCTGACAATTCTCTAACCAGCACTGTAAAAACRATCTTTTTTGCCACAGAAATCTTGTGCAAGCCTCTAGTTCCTCGTGGTGTGTTTTTAGGGTACGGGCCCTGACTCTTCCTGCAGATGAGCAGCTCCAGGGTCCCGGTGTTGGCTGCGGAGCAGAGCCGGGATGGAGGGCGATGCCGCGGGCACGGCAGCCGGGGCGAGCGGTGCCGGCCCCAGCAGAGGGCAGCCCGAGGGCGCGCGGCCCAGGAGCGCCCGGGCAGCAGTGCCGGGCAGCCGGAGCAGCCGTCCTGGCCTGCCCTCCCCTGCCAGGCCTGCGCTCCGCTGCCGCACCGCAAGGCAGGGGCGTTATTAATCCATTAGTGTCCTCGGCACTAGGGAACCCGCGGCAGAAGCTAGGGGGATGTTTCCCTGTCTGCATAAAACACAATCGCTTAGGCAGCCTCACAGAGGGAGCTAAGGAGAAGGTGGTCATTTTCACGTGAATTTTCTCCTGCCCTTTGCAGGACTCTTTCTCTTATGCAGAGGGGGCTGGGCGCGAGCACCCACAAGCAGCCGGCGGGGCAGGAACAGCCTCCCTGGGGTGCTCTCGCTAGCTGCACGGGGTAAATCCAGGCCAGGGTTTACTCGGGGCTGCCACAGATGAAAATTCCTCCCAATTAACAGGCCTCAGAGAGGGGCTGCTGCGTAGCCATGATGCGGCAGAGCCAAGGCCTCCCTGCAGCGCTAAGGCCTCCCCGCACAACCGGGACGTCTTCCAGAGGCGGCGCCGAGGGCACCTTCTTGCCTGTGCTGAATGTTGTCACCTGCCCCGGTGGTGACGGCGGCCGCGGGGCTGCCCTRGGCAGGGTGCAGGCCCCGTTCTGGCCAAGCGCCCCGCAGCCCCGTGCGATGCATCTTGCTTTGCGTGGGGGTGGATGGAGCGACTTCCCCCGGCGTGGCACGAGAGGCACCTGGTTGGTGCCTCAAGAGGCGGCAGGCAGGACCCTGGCAGTCAGCAGGGCTCACAAGTGCTCGTGTCCTCCGCAGAATGGAGGTTTCTGGCCCAGTTCTCGGGAGAATCCCATCCTATTCAGTACCAGGAGTTAAACTGTAACTGTTTGGGACTCAGAGAAGGAAACGTCACCATTGCTTTTGCTGACCCCCAGCAGTGGGGTTGTGTACTTATGCAAGAGGCTACAGACTTGGATCCTGCTGTGATTAGGCAGAAGCAGGGATATTTAATATGGGTGTTTGCCTTTTAGGAAGCGCCTAATCCTAGAGCCAATTATATAAAGAGCAGCTGGTGAGAGTGAACAGCCAGACTAACCTTGCCACAGCGCTGTGTGTCTCACACATCCCCCAGACCAGGGTCTGTGCTTACTGTGTCCCAAGCTAGGACACGAATCACCCCTTCCCCGTGTTCCCCTCGAGCCAGAAGAACTCAGTGATCCTCTGTTCCTCACAACCCCCTTCCCTCTCCCCCAGGATCCCTAAAGAAGCAAATTGTTGCCCCCTCTGTGCCCCAGACCAAAAGGCAATCTAGCAGCGATTAGGAAACCTGTACATCAGCGAGAAGGAACGTGAAATGTCCCTGTTCTCTTGGGGGAAGTTATGGGTGAAGAGCCCAAATTAATGCTGCCTCATTACTGATCATTGTCTGCTTAGCAAGTTCTAGATGGGGCGATTAAAAGTCATCACTGCAGTTTTCCTTTTGTACAGACCTGCCTCCCCCATCTGTTACAAGTGCTGGAGAGTCGTCTCCGGGTGTCTCTGGGGCAGAAGCTGGTCTYATCTTCCTGGTGTTTTGGGTGGCACTATCATCGCTTTGATCCCAGRTATACTATTGGCTTTTGCACATTGGACAAGATTTCTTCCCTCTGCTTATGAGGAGTTGGAGTGGGGACAACCACTATGTCTGAGAGGAGGAGAAAGTTCCTTTTCTTCTCCAGGTTTTCCACCTGCACCTCATGTATCAATGTTAAAAGACACAGATTATATGGAGGAGGAATAGTTGGCAGTTTTCTCTTCCCTATCCTGACAACCTCTGACCACAGAATTAAAAGGCAGTTAGTGAGTCTATTTTCAAACAGCTTTGCTAATGATTAGATAGAGAAATTCAGAATAGGTGGCTTGAGCCGGGCTCTGAATTTGCTGAGACACAGAACCGCAATGGAGAGCATTGCAGAGGAGATGGGYAAACCTGCACGTGCCCACGCTCGCATTGCCTCGCCCGTGCACACACGAGCACGTGCACATTGCTAGTGAGAAAAGACTGAACCCRGGAGGTGTCAGTTTAGAAATTCTGGTTATAGCAACAGCGCTGATTTGCTTGATAGACTAGGCCACAAAGCTTGGAACAAGGACTGTTATTTTCCATTTCCTGTGTGCTGGGGGTTTGGGAAGAGGACAAGGAGCTCAATATGTTTGGGGAAAATCAGATGTCAAAACTGTAACAGTAAATTACAAGCTGCGTCAGTAATTTGGGAGTAACGGCTGAGAGGAGAGATTGCTTGGGACAGTTCTGAAATTGCAGATAAAGGCAATAAGCATAAAGGCTCGGATGCTGCAGTGTCTATCTACATTTAAATGAATGCAGACGTGAACTCTCAGTGCTCCAAGATATCCCTCATTTCCAGCTCTGCAGAGCACCGTGCTGAGGAAGAATTTACGGAAGAGCAATAGAGGCGAATGTATTGAGATAAAGAAACAGGGTAATGCAAAAGAAAGTCATGATTAACCTCAAGAGGAGTTAAGAGAAGCTCAGTAGGTATGCTGGTGTACCACTCCCTTCCCTGAACAGGGTGTTCCTCTGTAAAGCTAACTATTTTATAAATAAAAAAGGTTAAGATCAATTGTAATGATTGCCTTATGGATATCTGTATAGGAGAAGTACCATAGGAATCTTTCTCTGCTGTCAAAAATGAAGGGAAACCCTTTCAGGGCCCATCTGAAGTTGCTCTTCATGTTTTGTTGCTTCAGCCTAGTAGCTCAAAACAGGCATCTGGCAGATGAGGGGATTTGTGCTGTTAAGAGTAATGTCAGTGCGAGACCCCTTCCCCGCCTCTTTCAGTTCCCTCAAAAGGAAGGGTTTTCTGGGTTGCAGTGGGGTTACGGCAGCTCCAAGGACCACGAATGGGGCCCACCCTTCTGCTCCAGCGGGTGTGTAACCCTCTCAAACGCTGCTGAAGCTGGAGTTGATGTTAAGGTGGCCTGAGATGGTACCATGCAAAAGACCTGCTGCTCCTGACTAGGAGCTGTAGAAGTTGCCTCCCTTTATCCCTGAACTGGGACCTCTAAGGGTACAGACCCAAATCTGGTTTGCTGTTATTAGCAGGTGAACATTTCCTATGGTGTGTTTGCAGCCTAGATACTGCCCTGATACGGCTGTGCCTGGGAACCTGAAGGTACAATTTAGCGTAAGCTGCCTCTAAGCCAAGGTGATGCGGCAGCTGTGTCAATGAGACCAGATTTGCCCCTTTCTTCTCCGCTAAGAGAACAACACACACCAGCCAGTGGCTCTGGAGCAAGTTTGCCTCCTTTCATCAAGTGGTGTCACTTTGCAAAGCTCCTAATCTCCTTTCATGTGGCAGGATGGAGCTGGGTTCAGGAATGCTCCCCCAGCAACTCCAGAGCCGCGCGGAGCTCCGAGAGGCAGAGCAAGTCCCAGGGCATCGCGCGGGCCCGTTTACCAGGCGCTGCTTAATCCCTGCATGCAGCCCTCGGCTCGCTAACGCG